TATAACTATGAATTCAACTTGACCTTGAAACGGCTCGACCAAGAGCTGCTGAACCCTAAACCATAAACCCTAAACCCTGAGGGTTTAGGGTTTAGGGTTTAGAGTTTAGGGTTTAGGGTTTGGGGTTTTTGGGCTCGCAGGGTTAGGGTTGAGACCTTTAGACACAAGGCAGCGGAGTCCTTGCAGTTACCATTCTTTCGCGGCTTGACCTGCTTGTTTCGTTCACGACGTATGGGACCTAAATCATCCCCACAGAGGAGCTAGTCAGTAAGATCCGAAGTCTGACTCCCTTAGTCTTGGCTTAGCGGTGCCGCGGGAAGGACGTGAAGAAGATTGCAAAGCTGGAGTCTAAGCTGGATGTGACAGATCCTGATGAGGACCTTGCACTCATCAGCAGCGAGTTAGTTTGAAATAGTTTGGATTTGTCTGAAAACTTGCCTTTGCCCTCGGCCCTAAACCCTAAACTCTATCTAAAAAGACGACCCGGAGCCTTGGCTTCCCGGAATTTTTGGCTCCGGGGTCTTTGCACTCCAAGGCTCTAGGTTTTCCAAAGTTCCCAGATATCGGCTTTTTCCGTGCTCCGATATCGCGGCGGTGCATGGCCGTGCTGTTGGGGTCGCGATGCTCCCGAATATCCGGGAGCTTCCGCGACTTCTCTCGCACCTGACTCACCGCAGATCCTTCATCCCACTGTAAGAGTTATCCACCCTCATCCCCCAAGAGCATCCCGGGATCTCCAGCCCAGAAGTTGCAAGGAATGCAGGGATCCGGGGGTGTTGGGTGTTGATGCCCCTTGTGCAGAGCGCAGGGGCGTGATATTTACCTGCTGTGTTTGGAGGCACGAACCAGGGCCAAAGATGGTCTAGCAGCCAGCGCCCGACTGGATTACCTGTGGGTGCTGGGTGCAGGATGTCCACGACGTGACTGCGGTGCCAAGCTCAAGCGGGGATTGTTCCCAGCCCTCAGCCCGAGAGTCTGGAAGCCGACGACGTCGACTCCCCCAAGTACTGGGTTTTGTTCAGGAACTCAACCCAACCTAAGGTACCACATCAAATTTCAAAATTAATCATTCCCTTGTGTTCCTGCGATGCTAGCTTGAACACTGAACCAGAAACCCTACACCGTATAGGTTCCGTAGCAAGCGCCCAAGCAGTAGCTCTGACGATGTCTCGCAAGCTGCAAGATCCCAGGCTGGAACTCCAACCCCCCAGTAAACCCCGGCTGTAGCCGCAAGGCCGTGCCGTTTGAGTTAAGCACCACGGTGACTTCCGTGATTCCGGACGTTCATCGTGAGGGAATCACACTACGAACCCTACAGCAAGCCGACAGTGTAAGTTGTCTTAGGGGGTTTCACAGAAGCCTTGCAGGGTATCGGATGTTAGCCATTCTCATAGCACGGGCCACCACCTCCTAGCCCCGACCGCCTCGGCTGGCAAGCGCCCAGGGTTGACGAAACTCTGGGTGAACGAAGCTCGTGGGCACGAGAGCTCCGTCGTTTTGCGGTTTGGGCTTTCTGACTAAGTCAGTTGAGGCCGATTCTGCATCGAGCCACCGCCGCACGTTGCAGGGTAAGTCGCAAAAGGACGCGTGGCAGCCTGGCTGTTTTCCGCTGGATAGCACAACTCTTCTTCTCTTCTTGTTCTTGCTTACATGGCTTCTACATAGCGCCTACGATGCACCACGAGCAGTATTCCACGCGACACTTCTAGGACTACCGACCGTGCTGGTGCTGTTGCTTGTGCGACTCGTTTGCATCGCAGTAGCCAAAACATGATGCCAGCACTACGGTGCAAGGGCCTTTGCCATGCTAAACCCTCAACCCCCCAAATTTCAAGCCTCTAGATCCTCATCTCCCTAAAGCTTCTTGAACCCGTCACCCTCAACCCTACAGCCCCCTAAAGCCGACCCTAGAGCCCTGTAGAGCCCTGTAGAGCCTTTTGCAAGAACTTCAGAAGCCCTGTCCAGCCCTACACCCTAAACCCTATTCCCCAAAACCCCTAAACCCCTAAACCCTAAACCCCTAAACCCTAAACCCTAAACCCTAAACCCCTAAACCCCTAAACCCCAAAACCTAAAACCCTAAAACCCTAAAACCCCAAAACCCTAAAGCCCCAAAACCTCAAAACTCTAAAACCCTAAAACCTCAAAACTCTAAAACCCTAAACCCTAAACCCTAAACCGACTCCCTTTTTCGGCCCAC